TTATCTATTCAAAGCTGTAGAGGCTGTTCATATTCCCTAAGATCAACAACATTACCATTGAAACAAAAAGCAGCCAGCTGGCTAAAACACACAACATGCACACACACAGACACACATGCAGAACCACACACAAACCTGTTCTCTCACGTTAAACTCTGTAACAGTAAAAACACACTCCTAAATAGTTGTTTCTATTAAACAATTTCCATTCCAGAGAAGAAAAATACAATAATATATATGATTAGGGGTCATGATTCTAAAATCATTAACTTTATTTTTTTTTATGATTGTGGTTCCATTGATTTAAATTTTCCTTTACCACTTTCAAACAAGGTGACCACACCCTCGACTCCGTTGTTCTTCTGAGGGTAAACAAGTGTGAGGTGACCCCAATTAGGGATGTCCCAATAGCCAGTAAGCTGACAGCGCAAGAGCTTCAATCATAAGCCTCTAACCACTGCAACCGCCACAACATTCAATCACAACCCTCTAAACACTGCAAAGCCACAACATTCAATCACAACCCTCTAAACACTGCAAATGCCACAACATTCAATTGCAACCCTCTAAACACTGCAACTGCCACAACAGTCTCTTTGTACTCATTTAGTGTATTACTAAATGTTTACCTCGTTCATGATCATTACATTACATTTACACGGCATTACATTTACGAACATACAAGATCGTTACATTATGTGGATACTAAGACTTTGGTTAGATATCTCTCCCTTTTGGCCTTTGTCTGTATTTTACAAATTTAGTTCACATTCAATCATTGGTCTTCTAAAAGACCTTTGGCAAAATAAGTACACACTTACCAGCAACGTAAATATTGGACACAACTAAAATCACTTTCATTTATTCCCTAAATTTTCCCCTACAGGTTCTGGAGATTTCCAAAACCTTGTAATCAACATAGCAAAGCAGGTGCTACCATTGCAGAGATCAGAGCACTTTTTTTTTTTTTTTTTTTTTTTTGAGACGGAGTTTCGCTCTTGTTGCCCAGGTTGGAGTGCAATGGCTCAATCTCGGCTCACTGCAACCTCTGCCTCCTGGGTTCAAGCGATTCTCCTGCCTCAGCCTCTCGAATAGCTGAGATTACATACGCCTGCCACCATGGCTAGCTAATTTTTGTATGTTTAGTAGAGACGGGGTTTCTCCATGTTGGTCAAGCTGGTCTCAAACTCCTGACCTTAGGTCCTCAGGTGATCCGCCTGCCTAGGCCTCCCAAAGTGCTCATATTACAGGCATGAGCCACTGCACCTGACCTAGAGCATTTTTTATATTGTACACAATAACTGTTTTTAATGGAGATGCTTTATTTTCAAGCATAAAAGTAGAAAAAAGTAAAAGGAAGAATGGAACAAGAACTTTTGAAAATTATGTTTTCACAAGAAAAAGCTGCTTATAGATTTTGCTCACGTAATTCCCAACTATAATAATTCAGTCCTTTAAGAGTACTTAAAAACATATTCCAAATGTGTTTGCTTATTCACAGTGAAATATTTGGTGATGAATCAGAGGTAGTCCAAACAATGATCAGAATTCATTAGCTAACATTCATGTTGAATGTGTTTAATCACCAAGCGGTTATGGATTTAGTATCTAAGACTGATTATCCTGTCAGGCTGCCTCCCAGAACGTTTAAAATCAAGCCGCTCTGCTGTTTTGTCAGAAAATACGTGGCTGCTTATGCCTGTCCATGATTTACACACGCACACGTATTTGCTAATGAGACATACAACAGAGCAAACTGAAGTTATTCCTTTCCCTAATCTATAGTATCTATTAACTCTTTAGTTTTAAACAAAGAAAAACCGTATTTTATATGACTGTGACGCTTACATAATATAGTATAGGGAGTATGTCCCAAACTAATCTGTTCCAACAGGTATAAGAAAAATACAACAATATATGTTTAAAAGTTACATGCACTGAAGGCAAAAAAGATAATCCCATATGGTTTAGATTTTCCGTAGGAGAATACAGTTGAAGCAAGCTCTCCGGTGATAATATTCAAATAATTTATGTAAATTAGAATGGTCAAATGTTTCTGTCTGTGCAATCCAACTGGATGTTAGTATAGGTACTTAAATTATGGAATGCTTATAATTGCACAGCATTCCAGTAACTGATAGAAGAAAAGACAATGATAGATGCTGATCCTTATTCCACATCAAATGGCCTTGCATAGACTTTGCCTAACCAGAGCCTCAGATCCCACTGAGTGCTTTTAAAAAGGGGCATTATTCCCTGTTATAACACAGATACTATTTTTGGCCTCACAAAACCTCCAGCCTAGGCAGTGAAATCCTAGCTATAGACAAGTGCAAATAATCCTAGAATTTGCAAATATGCCACAGAAAATATCGTTATCTCTTTTATGTCAACCCTCACATCACCACTAGTACTCCCATAGGCAGAGGGGAGACTGGCAAAGATTCTTTACCCTGGAAACAAGTGATTCTGACAGACTGCAGATACTTGCCTCAATACAGGTCGACAGCTCCTTAATACAGCTTAGCAGATTTCATGAAAAAGCCTGCTTCCGGGTCAGGTGCAGTGGCTCACACCTGTAATCCCAGCACTTCGGGAGGCCGAGGTGGATGGATCACGAGGTCAAGAGATCGAGACCATCCTGGCCAACATGATAAAACCCCGTCTCTACTAAAAATACACACACAAAAAATAGCTGAGCCTGGTGGCACACACCTGAAGTCCTAGCTACTCGGGAGGCTGAGGCAGGAGAATTGCTTCAACCCGGAAGGCAGAGGTTGCAGTGAGCCAAGATTGTGCCACTGCACTCCAGTCTGGTGACAGAGCGAGGCTCTGTTTCAAAAGGAAAAAAAGAAAAAAAGAAAAAGATAAAGTCGCTTCCTTGAATAAGCAGCACATCTCCAGTGATACTACACGATGCTACCCAGGCACCCACTAGTACAGTGCAACAGTCATTTGATAAGTCCTAATCTAATGGTCATGAAAAAGTTAATCTTCCAAACAGACTACAAAATAATTTGTACACTGAAAATATCAAGCACAACTGATTACATATCCGAGTTTTTCCAGAGGGAAAAACACAGAGCTAAGGACGCTCTACTTACTGATATCACAGTGAGGAACCAGAGAAAATACCCCGAATGATATGAGACTTCTACATGGGGACTCTAGTAGGGGAAACCTGGGTCTCTACTTTGATCTTTATGAGTTGCTGTTCCACTGGCAATATTTTGACTATCTGATGGTAGTGAAAAATCATTTCAATATTTTAAAGTTACATTCTTGATTTTCAGGTGAGATACTCTTGGCAATATTTTAAAGGGCACAGTTTTCTATTCACTATGTTTGCTGACATACAGTTCAAATATAGTACAACATAGAAATAAAGAAATAAAATTCCATAAAGAACAAAGGAATCATATTGCAACATAGTAATTTATACCAAGCATCAAGAAAAGAGTATAAAATAAACTGCAAAAAGCATTTAGTTGAGCATGGTTAATTTTTTAAGTTTCAGTTATCTGAAATTTGGAACACTGGCCTAAATATTATCTTTACTATTTAAATTTGATTTTGATAAGAACTCAGGACTTTTACACATAAATGACTTGGGTAAAGTTTTGGAGACAACTTACACACACACACACACACACACACACCCCCAACAATGACAAACATAATTTGGTGTTTTCCAAATATGCTCAATGAAGAGAATCAATAGCAAATATATCCAGATAACTTTTTGTCTTATGTATATAGTTGCAAATCAGCAATTTATTCCAGTATGTGACAGCTTTGCTACAGACTTTTAAAATACAAGAAAACATGGTTATAATCTGTAGCAAAACACTTGATATAACATACCTCACAGTAGTCTCAAATAACCATTTGGGGTAAACTTCCGCCAAAGTTTATGAAACCATAGTTTTGCAATGCATTTTTTCTTCGCTCAGACTTTCAGTACTATTAGGGCAGTGAAATTCTAAAATGAATTATTGAAGAACATTGTTTTGCAGTATCTATAAAAGAAAAGCTATCTGGTTTCAGTTATTTACTTGCACAACTAAAGTGTCAATCTAGAACACATTCAGCACCATATCAAAAAGTCTACAGCAACTTGATCCTTTGTCATTTTTAACTGAGCTCATTTGACAAATTAATGAATTAACAGAGATCAATTCAAAACAACTGCTCAGTGACACAATAATAACAAGCCAAATGTCTAATAAAGTTAAATAAAATTGTATACATAGCTACTGCTTTAAGGTCCCAGGGTAATTGACATGTGAATAAGAGCTCTGTAATATAATTTAGTTCTTTATTAATTTTTTAGTTCTATTAATTATTAGTTCTGTAATATAATTTAGTTCTGTAATATAAATTAGTTCTTTTTTTTTTTCTGAGGTGGAGTCTCATTCTGTAGCCCGAGTTGGAATGCACTGGTACGATCTTGGCTCACCACAGCCTCTGCCTCCAGGGATCAAGGGATTCTCCTGCCTCAGTCTCCTGAGTAGCTGGGATTACAGGTGTGCACCACCACACCCGGCTAATTTTTTGTATTTTATTAGAGATGGGATTTCATCATGTTGCCCAGGGTGGTCTTGAACTCCTGATCTGCCCGTCTCAGCCTCCCAAAAGGCTGGGATTACAGGTGTGAGCAACTGTGCCCAGCCTATAATTTAGTTCTTTATCTGGTTGTATGCACACCTTGTAGTATAGAGCAGCAAACGTTTATGATCTACCCAATGCTAACTCTGCCAACTGAAAAGTTTGTGGTGTTGGTTGTGGTTGTGATTGTTGATGAGCCATTAACTGATTTATGTTCAGCCTTTCCCTCTGTAATAAGAGGCACTCATCCCACTTTCATTGTTTGTTTCATTTACAAAAAAAAAAAAAAAATTGTTCCATTTGCTCATTTATAAATAAAATTCTCTATTCATTTTTCTGCTAGAAATCTTCAAAAAGTGAAGAAGAATGCAATTACCCCTTTTGTGGCACTCATTGACAATAAAAGTTTGCACACTCCTTCCCCTGAATGCAGTCAGCAGCTCACTCTCACCCCAGCCCTGAACCACATTCCTCAGTTAACATGTAACTCTCTATACATTCTGTACTTCTCTTGACTGGTAGAATTGGAGGTGTTTACAAAGCTGACAGTACATTAGTTCAGAAACTATGGCAGCAACTGGGTAAAGCTGGAAGGTTCCTCCACCACCCGGCTTTTCTAGACATCTGTCAACAGGAAAGCAACAGGAAAGGAGCGAGGCCTTGAGTAGCGTGTGCATCTGGCGGGGAATGTGGTGCCGTTTAAACGGAGTCCACCTTTACTAGATTATTTTTGGTCGTCAGTGGAGACGGCTTGCATTTAACCCTATCGGCCACGTCGTTAGAGCTATCCACAAAGAGCATCCTGGCTGTACAGAGCGAGACTATAATTCTTCTGTACTCCTTCCTGAAATTTTGGTTCAGTAGCCCATATATAATGGCATTGAGGCAGCTGTTGAAATAGGCCATGTAGTAACTCGCCACAAACAGCCACTCTGGGATCCTAGGCACCATGCTGGCGGGGTCAGAGGCCACGGCCAGGCCAATGAAGTTCAGAGGGGCCCAGCAAATGGCAAAAAGGACAAAAACCACAAACATGGTGACAAAATTCCTGAAGTCCTGTGGTTTCAGCCTGGGTTTGCGGTCAGGTTTCACCCTCTGTCTGACCTGGAGAACCAGGATCCATATTCTCAGGTAACAAAAGATGACAATGATCATGGGGACGAGGAAGTGGAAAACCACCACGGCGATGGTGTAGGCAGAGCTGACGGACTGTGCGAAGGTGCACGAGTAGATCCTCGGGTCGTACTGGAGAGTCCCGGCACGGAGGTTGGGCAGGACAGCCACCAGCGTCAGGAGCCATATGAGGAGCACGTAGCAGAAGGAGTTCTTGCTGCTGTACAGTTTATCGTACTTGAGACTGTGGCAGATGTAGCAGTAGCGGTTGATGGCAATGCCGGTGATGTTGAATATCGAGCCGATGACACTCAGGCCCATCAGGAACCCACTGATTTGGCAGTGCAGATACCCCAGGTTCCACCCGTTGTTAAATATCGATGTCAGCACCAACGGGTACGGATAAACAGCCACCACCAGGTCTGCCACCGCTAAGCTCACCACAAAGATGTTTCCTGAAAGAGAAACGTTTAGAAAATACAGTGAATACCAGTTCACACTGGGTTTTCTGTTACAATCGTTAAAGAAGGAGCTGCTTCTGCCTGCAGCTCTAATGACCTGAGGTCACAGCCGCTGCCGCACTGCAAATGAACTGGAGGCCATTTCACAGGAAGCCGGCCCACTGCTGCTCCTGACATATCAAACCCACTGTTCACACATTCCCGCCTCCCCAGAACAGGCCCTGTTCCCTGTTCCCTGTTCCAAACTGCTGTCTTTCAAACCCTTCAGTTTCTCATCTCTAAAAAGTCCTGAGATCAGAATACTTGCATTCCATCTGTTGTTCTAGAGCCTTCTACATCACCTGAGCAATCTCATATGATGTTATTTCTCAAGCCAGCCACAGCTTCCTTAAGTTCAAGTCTTCATTCCCTCTGTAGTCCTTCAGCAGCTCCCAAGAGGCCTCTAGCTTCTGTTCTCGCTGATCCCACAGCGCGGGAGTTACGATCAAGAGGGCTGTGTCATCAGCCGCCTTGATGAGAACATGGCTTCACTCCTTACCAACTGTCCAACCGGGGCGCGTTACTTGACCTCCCCAAGCTTCTGCCTCCTCTCCTAGATGATGGGATAATGAGCATCTTCCTCTTAGGGCTGCGGTGAGCATGACAGGAGACTATCTGTGGCGAGTGCCATGCACCGTGTCTTACACCAGAGAAATGTTCTTATTCTACGACACCCTCACCTTGAACCAAAGGAAAATGCAGAAATTCACCTAGATTTTATAAAGAACTTATGTTACAAAACTTAAACCCTAAATAGTCTAACTATTAATTTTCTCAATTAACATAGCAACACATATTTAATTACAGAAAAAAAAAACTCTGGTCACTTTTTTATTTTTATTTATTTATTTTGTGACCGAGTCTTGTTCTGTCACCCAGTCTGGAGTGCAATGATCTGATCTTGGCTCACCCTAACCTCCACCTCCAAGGCTCATCCTCCCACCTCAGCCTCCCAAATAGTGGGGACCACAAGTGCACACCACCACACCCAGCTGGTTTTTGTATTTTTGTAGAGATTGGGTTTTGCCATTTTGTCCAGGCTGGCCTCAAACTCCTGGGCTCAGGCCATCCACCCACCTCAGCCTCCCAAAGTGCTCGGATGGCAGGTGTGATACATTGCTCCCAGCTACGTTAGTCAAATTTTATGAGATGTTCTGCAAATATGGTTTTTCCCTTTTGCGGCTCTTCTGCCTTTGTTTCTTACTATTCCTTCTGCCTCGAATGGCTTCTCACAGCAACGTTCTAAATGCTACCCGTTCTCCCACGTCTACCTCAAATAGAAATGCCGAGGCCTTTGCTCGTTTGCCCACCTAGAGGTAAGAGCTTCCTCCTTTGAAGGGTCTTAAACCACTTTATACTGCTTTTTACTCAGGTTAAATTATAATAAATTCAATTCAGTTTACATATTAAATGCATATATTTGGTGCTGGGGAAACAGGAATTGAGAGACAGGAAAAGCCAAAAAAATTACACTAGAGTGGCCAGGAGCAGTGGCTCACACCTGTAATCCCAGCACTTTGCCGGGCCGAGGTGGGTGGGTCAAAAGTCAGGAGTTCAGGACCAGCCTGGTCAATACGGTGAAACCCTGTCTCTACTAAAAATACAAAAATTAGCTGGGCGTGGTGACAGGCGCCTGTAATCCCAGCTACTTGGGAGGCTGAGCCAGGAGAATTGCTTGAACCCGGGAGGCAGAGGTTACAGTGAGCAGAGATTGCGCCACTGCACTCTAGCCTGGGCAACAAGAGCAAAACTCCATCTCAAATTTAAGAAAAGAAAGAGAAAATTGCACTAGAGTAAGCAACAGCACCAGAGCACGCACCGAACCAGACGCAGTGAGGAAAGGGGTGCGCCAGACCGGGACGGAGGGAGCCCCAGGTGGAGGGACAGATGATTTCGCCTTCTGTTCTATTGACCTGTAAGCCAGGCTTCCCTGCCTGACTCGAGACGGTGGCCCTCGTGAGTACATTTCCTCATATTTGTATACATTTCCTCATATTTGTATACATTTCCTCATATTTGTATACATTTCCTTATATTTGCGTCCTAGACCACACCCAATAAATACAGTGACTTTTGCTCATACCCTTGATGAGTTAATTAAACTGTCACTTCCCAACATTTGAAATGAAACAGCCCATAGCAGTCATGATGAAAGAAAGGTAAAATCTGTGCCATTTATTTAGGAATTTCAGATAAATTGTCATAAAAGCAAATTCTTTAAAAATTGGTTGTATTCATCCAAATTAAAGTTACAAAGGCAAGTTGATTTTTCCCACAGATCACTTTCAATTAGTGTTGAAACACCTAAATTCCTAAGAGGCATATTTTAATAAATTATTAGCTCAAAATGTTTAATGCTTTAAAAGTATCTATACTATGTGAAATTCTGCTCCAAATTAAATTATCATTGTAACAGCACATTTTTACCCAGAGTGTCATGATGACAAACTGGCCTAATATTGGATTTATTTTTAAAAGACCTTAAAAATGAAATCACAAATGATGTCGTAAATTTCTTTCATGGCTCGAATACCCTGCTTCATTTATTTTATAGTAATTATATTGTATTATAATTCAAGTAATTACATTAATTAGATCATTAGTTTAATTCTTTGAATTAATCCCATTTTACAAATGCTTGGTGAAAATTAATTAAGCCACAGACTCCATACAGGTGTGGCTATCAGGTGGCTCACATAAAGCTTTAGCACAGGTGTTCATGTGTGCATGGGGGGTGTGTGGCGTCTGGGGGAGAAAGAAAAAGGGAATTTCCTTTTTTCTTTTATGAAATTCACCAGATAAGAGTAATTAAATCATCTAATTATAATTATACACATTATAAGTTCATCTATTCCATTCTGAAATCTATGTAACTCCAGATATATGGACAATCTACCCATTTCTACAGATATCCAGGACTGTATGCAACAAGCTTAATAATGCATTCTGAAATGTCAAATAATGTCTGTTCGTGGGTAACAGTTTCTTCTCTGTTGAATATAGTTCCAATCCTTACTGTGGCAGAATCACAGAATAATAGGATGTTAAAATTGAGAGATGTGTTAATGATCTCCCTGGATAATTCCTGCTTTTTAAAGATGAGAAAACAAAAATATAGAATTAAATTGGATGAAGTCGTACGACTGCTTAGTGAAAGAGTCAGGATTATAGCAATGCTATGAATTGGTGTTGTTCAGTGTTATTTCCCTGAGAAAGCTCCTGTGCTCCTACAGATATGAGACTCAGAAACTGGGCCCTGTGGCTACATCCTGGCTTACAGCCTCTCCAGGCACAATTCTAAAGAAGCATATTAGAACTAGAACCTTCTAAAGAGAAGATGGGGGAGGAAAACACCTAGAAGTCAGTATGCTGGCAACAAGACGGACAGCAATCAGCCTCACGGTGATTAAAGGCACCAACTATAAAATGCACAGTCAATATTTGCTCCCAGGAATAAAACTTTAAATTGGAAGTGAAATATGGCATAGATATGGATAAAGTAAGGTAACAGACAACTAAAATGTCAGCTTGCCGGGAGTGCCTTCCTCAGAACTAATCCCGTGAGTCCCTTCTGGGAATGACACAGCAACACGGCGTTGCTTTTCTGTTTATCGCAATTATGTCTCTACTTCTCCCCATCTCCCATAGCCCGAGCTGTCACCTCGGTGAGGACACTGCCTGCTTTGACATCTTCTCCCTCCACCTTGAACAGTACCTGGTGGAGGGTTAATCAATGTACAGTGGGTTTATATTGTGTCAGCTTCGTGAAGCTGAAAAGACGTTTTCTTGCACCGCTCCGGGTTAGTGTTCCCCACAAGAGGCAATTGCGTGAGATTTTGAAGGCGGACGTGCAGCAGCAGTTTGCTGTCTGTGCTCAGTACATCTGTGTCAAGTGCCAGACGCCACTGCAAGCTCGGCGCTCTGAGTCTTACCTGCTGCCCTGCAGGGGGTGGGCGGCAGCAGCGTGCCCACAGCTTCTCCAGCTCCTGCTCACCTCCTCCTGGCTTGGAGGAAGTGAGAGACCAATTCAGAAGGTGAGTTTCCACCATCCTCCAGAGCTCCAGTCCTTCCTCCCAGATTCTAGCTTCCCCTGCGTCCCCTCCTAACATCCAGCTTTCCTTCTCAACTCCATGAACTTTAAACAGCAGCGCCAGACACAGAAGCGAAAGCCTCAAATACACTATTCCATCGGCTTACACAACTGCTCTAGCAATTTTGCTTCTTGGATTGATTGAACCCAGACTGATACAGAATTTGGTTCTGGAAGTGGGCCAGTGAGAACCTTCAGAAGGGTTTCTCTGTATTGGTTTTGGGTTACCTGCAGTTGATTCTATAACAGGACTAGATTTAAAGTATTAGAAACCCTATTTCCAGTAGTTAAGGTAGTCACTACACTGGTAAGGTGTAAGTGGTAGTCACAGCCGCAGGGGCAAAAAAATTCCTTAAAAGACCACCTGGGCCAGGCACGGTGGCTCATGCCTGTAATCCCAGCACTTTGGGAGGCCAAGGCGGGGGATCACGAGGTCAAGAGATCAAGACCATCCTGGCCAACATGAGGAAACCCTATCTCTACTAAAAATACAAAAATTAGCTGGGGGTGGTGGTGTGCACCTGTAGTCCCAGCTACTAGGGAGGCTGAGGCAGGAGAATTGCTTGAACTCAGGAGGTGGAGGTTGTAGTGAGCTGAGATCACGCCACTGCACTCCAGCCTGGCAACAGAGCAAGACTCTATTTAAAACAAAACAAAACAAAACAAAACAAAAAACACCTGTACTCACCTTCCAAGGTGAAAACAATGTCATTGCATCACCCTCCAACCACTAAGATGAAAAACAAAACATACCAACCATACAATGGGTTGGACGTACTAAACAAACCCATTTCCTGAGTGACTCAAAAAGCTGTCAGTGTTGCCTGGAGCCCAGAACAAGGCCCTGAAGGCTGCTCAGCCACCT